AATTTATTGCAGAGTTACACCGTTTTCAGTCAGCGAGCGCCATATCTCAGCAACTGTGCACAGCCACAGGACGACAAGTATCAAGATTTACAGTGGCCAGACGCCTCCACAAAGGTGGCTTATTTGCTAGACGTCCTGAACGCCGCATACCTTTAAAAGTTAGCCATCGGCGGCACCGTTTAGAGTGGTGCAGAGAACGCGAAACCTGGACACCTCATCAATGGACTCTTCACAGATGAGAGTCGGTTTAGTGCTACAAGCGATTCTCAACGTTAGTTGATCTACAGAGAGGTTGGAGCTCGATTTCATCCCAATAACATCGCGGAAAGAGATCGTTACGGTGGTCCTGGAGTGGGGTGGCATTATGTTGAACGGGCGGACTGAGCTTCAGATCTTAGACCGAGGTTCTGTAACTGGAGACTGCTACTGCAATGAGGTAATCCTACCCCATGTGCGTCTGTTCCGAGGGGCCATTGGACCAGACTTCATTTTTATGGATGACAATGCCCGGCCACACCGTACTGCTAATGTTCAAGAGCTACTGGAAAGTGAAGATATCACACGAATGGATTGGCCAGCTTACTCTCCAGATCTAAATCCCATAGAGCATGTGTGGGATGCATTAGGGAGACGTCTTGCGACACGACAGTATCCTCCTGGTAACACCCATCAGCTGAAAGATGCGTTAAAGGAGAAATGGAGACGTTTACCCCAAGAACTCCTGGATAATCGGGTGCTTAGCATGGAGAGACGATGTCAAGCAACAATTACAGAAAGGGGAGGGCATATCCCATACTAGGGAACATCTGCCAGTTGTACTTACGCTTCTTCAGGCAATCATGTGTAACGCCAATATATGTCAAATAAAGCCTTTTTTTGTTCCATACCCTACTTTAAGCTTTATGTTCATTTCTGCGCCATTATTCTTTTACCATCGTTTAAGTACAAAATAATGTACATCATATTCAAATTCCATGTCAATCGGATGATTTCTTGTAGAGTTATGACAAAAAAACGTACTTGTTGCTTAAGTTTTGCACACCAGTGTATATATTTTTCATATTGGACGCAGCTCAATAGTCTTTGAACTGTGAAATACTGTGAGAAGGAAAATGTTTTTTCTCTCTTCTTCACAGAAGTAGGTTTTACTGATTGGGTCACGATATTATCGATATTTATCGAGTGTTTGCAGTTTTTTGGTATTTATCAAGCGTCAATTATTATCGTTAGTCTGTATTTTTCGCAAGTATATCATGTTTTGATATTTATCGTGTTCACGATATATCGAAAGAATATATTTTTTATAAAATCATCGCGTTAATTAAAAATGACGATATTTCATGATATATTGCTCTGCTGTATTGAACATTAAAATAGTCGTATATTGATTGGAACAATTATTTTTGCGTTCCCCCTATGGTTCATCTAACGTATACACCATGTTTCATAGACTATGTTGGTCTAAACATGGTAATTTCAGTTATAACCATCCAGTATGTACAGCGAATAATTTAATTTAATATTTTGTGGACATTATTTGTATGCATGTATCTTGCAGCATCTTCTAAGCATCTTTTAATATATAACTCTAATTTCTTTCAATTTAGCTAAACTCAATATGTCATGCGATTCAAAAATTAATCCCACTTGGACAAAAAAAAAGAAAGTCATCTTGTATTAGGCTTTCTATTTCATCGTGGAATAATTTGATAGTAGTTTTAATAGCTAACAAATGAACACATTTTATAAAAACAGTGTTATAGCACTTTTTTTAATCACTGATTGTAAATTTATTATATTACATTTATAGGTTATATGGCTTTTGATACTTTTTGCAGCTTTAGGACTCACAGCCAACGAATTGTAAGTTCATTTTGTGTTAAATTTATACCTTAAAAGAACTTCTCTCAAATGTTTAAAACATTTCTCAAATTAATCATTAGCTGTAACAGGGTTTACTATTTTTATTAAAACTAAATAGATAATTTTATTATTAGCAGATTTTTTAAAATATCCTTTAAAACCATTAGTGATCCAATTTTTATACCAGCTAACATCACGGGTTAATCATGGCTAACTGTTCACTATTAGTTTTTAAACACTTCAATCGGGGTTACTGTAATAAACATTTTGTCTACCTGTTAATGGCTATAAATCCCTGGCCAAATTATTAGACGCATTATTACATTCTATAGAAAAACTTAATTATACTTTATTGTTTATATGCGCACTTGTTTACGTTCGTCTATCAATTGGATAAATTAGACGATATATATTATAAATTCGATGATTGGATAAATTAGACGATATGTTATATAAATATAGAATAATTATTATATCAGGTATTATATTATAATAATCAGACCAAATTATTAGACGCACTGTATTTTTTTAATAATTACATGTTTTGCACGAGTTTATATGCTACTTGTATATTTAAATAAACATGTAATGAGTTTTTATTCAGGAAATTTTTATATACTTCCTATTTATATTTATTTTTTAACGTATTGCATCACGATATTAATCAATTGATACACGAAGATGAACGAGCGCAAACCGGTTTCAGCCGCGTAAAAATAATAAAGTTGTATAGTATCACCTGATAATTAAGATTTTACATAGAATCTTATAGTGCGTCTAATAATTTTAAAAGCGAGCAATTCGTGACGCATGAAATTTATTTATATATTTGTCAAAAATAATTTTGTTAATACAGAGGAGTGTCAAAATAATAAGAATAGTTCTATACTGATGTAAACAATCTTTCTTTTAGAAGCAAATGTTTTGGGAGATCTTACATAGCAAACTGAAGGATTTTGTATAGCAAATTTGTCTAAAAAATGTTTTGTAAATAATTAATAAGAATTGTTCCGTATTAACTATGGTGTAAACTTTCTTTTCGAAGCAAATGTTTCGAAAGATTTTAAATAGCAAATGCTTTGGAAGATTTTACGCAGCAAATACTTTGGAAGATTTTACATAGCAAATACTTTGGAAGATTTTACATAGCAAATGCCTTATTAGATTTTGTATAGCAAATGCTTTAGAAGATTTTGTATAGCAAATGCTTTGGAAGATGTTGTATAGCAAATGCTTTGGAAGATTTCATATAGCAAATGCTTTAGAAGATTTTATGTAGCAAATGCTTTGGAAGATTTTATATAGCAAATGCTTTGGAAGATTTTACATGGCACAGTTTGAAAGTTCATGCTTGAAACTTTAAGAAATAGTGTACTTTTTACCTATGCAAAAGTTGCATCGTGCAAAACGTAGAAAGTTTAAAGCTTCTTTCCTTTTTTTAATACTACTATAATTCCAAAAGCTTTTTTATGTAAATATCACAATTTTATGGAATGAATTGATGTTATTAAAGATAGATCGAAGCTTAACTTCTTCTCCTTATTTAGATCGATTCGAATTTTGTATGGATAAAAAATGACACCATTTATAAAAACTTCAAACATTATCTTTTAAATTGTGCCAACAGTTTTGCCATGTAAGAACTTCCGAAACATTTGCCGCTAAAAGAAAGATCGTTTTCTTAAAGTTAGTAAAGAAGCATTCCTATTATTTTTTTCATCCACCTGTATGTATTAATGCCTGAAAGATTTTAATACCAACCCATAACAGGAAATGCAATAGACTGATTCTTCATGCATATTTTAATTAATACTTTTACTCATTTAAATTGTTTTAAATTTTTCTTTTCAAACGTTCAAAAAATTGCATTCAAATAAGCACAGAAATAGCTATTTTATAGGAATTTAATGATTTGGCACAAGAATTGACTAGTTTTACAAGGTCTCCCTAGCGGCTTACGATGACAACTCCGATCATTAGTAGCACCATTGGTATTGGACATTAATAGGGCACCTCTTATAAGGTGCCCTACACTCTTTTGACGTTCTTCCTTCTAGTTTTGAATCACTCTATGTAAAGAATATTCTGTTGCGACCGCCCTTAATCTATATTATTCCAAGTCCCGATCGTTAAGACACGGTTCCCAGTAGAACACCGAAGTCAAGGGCAAGAGTTGTTGCTTATGGGAGTACCTGTACAACAAGGCACATCGATGTAAAAATAAGGGGATAAACCGTAGCGGGGGGTGTTGATCGAAAAATAAATAAAAAAAAAAGAATTTTGAGGGATAGTCAAGCTGGTACACCGAAGTCAAGCATCACTGGTTGCGATCAGTGTGGGGGACCACTTGGATCAGTTTACGAAGGGACCGAGGGTGTTCGGTATTGGTCCTCGTTAAACTGTTCTACCGTAAAGTGCTCGACTTCGCGCGCAGGTCATCGGGTTACCAACGCGGAGGAGCTTTCCCCTCTACAGAGGATTAAAATTGTGATGGTATGCCTTCGGATCATCCTAGGGGATGTTTTCCAGACCATCGCCCATTGTGCAACTCTAGTGTTACGTAAATAAAGTACAGCTATATTATTCGAACCCTTGTCAAAAAGGAAGTCGTATAAAAATCCACGTTGGCGACGGAAATTACATTTTAAAATTAGTGTTTTAAAATGTAAAACGCTATCAAAATCTAGCGAATTGCTAATGTGGAAGGCAGGACTAAAAGACAATATTTTGTTAGACTGTTGGAGGAAACAGAGGAGTTGAAAGGCGATTATAAGGAACACCTCCAAGTTTTATCAAACTGGTTTGTTGTGATATATTTCGATAGCTTTTGTTTAATTTTCTTCTTGTTTAAATATTTATTAGCGACCCCTAATATGTACACTTTTGTGTCCTCATATTTGAGAAGGTTTTTTAATTAATAAAGGATAGCCTTTTAAGGATCTGACATGCCATTGAAATGTAAGCACATGCTGACGAAGTATTAATGCCATTTTTTTCTAATATTTTACTGCTATTCAAAGTAATAACAGATTAATGAATAAGAGCATTAATTTTAATGATATTGCATTAAATGTATCACTTTCTTGTAGCCTGTGTCCTTCTCTGTTCATCATGTCAAAGGCAATGAAATTATCTCAAAATGTTGCTGTATCCTTCTTTATTGAAATCATGTCTAATACAAATACTTTTATATTCACTTTTTTAAACAAATAAAAGCAGATTTTTACATTACAGAAGCAAATAAGAACATTATCCAGAACAAATTTTAACATTTCAAACACCAGAAGAAGCGAGAGGCATAGAGAATTGTATTTATTCTTGTATAATGAATCAAATTTTTTGAAATCAGTTCCTCTAAATCGAGTAAATATCGTTTCTATTTTTTTTTTGTTGCCTTAAAGCATAACAAAATATGAAAGCCGTCATTCTATGTTCGATTAAATTATTCTATAACAGTCGTTACATTATATATTATATAAGGAGTGATCAAATGAAAAGGTACGAAATGACGTAAAAACGTAATTTGCATATTCTGCCATGGGAGAACGTAGCGAGACATCTCGGGATGCGATTGCAGTCTCTGACTGGGATCGGAGCATGCGCAGGAGAGAGCAGAGGCTCTTATCAAAAGCGGCGTCCGTATGTGGCAGTCCGTATGAGGAGCAGTGTGGCGTTCGCGTTGCAAAATTCGACGATTGAGGAGCAGTGTGGTGTTATCCGATTTCTGACAGCGGAAGGTGAGAAACCGGCAGCTATTCATTGCCGGATGGTGACAGTTTACGGGGATAAATGTGTCTCTGACAAGTCTGTCAGAAAATGGAGTGCCCGTTTTTGTGCAGGCCGTGAGAGTGTGGGTGATGACCCGAGACCAGGCCAGGCAAATACTGTCATCACGAGCGATCTCATCGACAAGGTGCACGACCTAGTGAGAAGTGATCGACGTGTCACATTGCGAATGTTGGCGGTGAAGGTGAATGTGAGCTATGGAACAGTGTGGTAAATTGTTCACGACAGGTTGCGGTATCGGAAGGTGTGTGCCGCTTTGGTTCCGAAGCAGCTCACCGACCAGCAAAAGGAACTGCGTATGGGGCTAGTACTGCAACATCTGTTTCGGTATCAGGAAGATCCCGCTTTCATGGAGCGGATCGTCACGGGTGATGAGACCTGGTGCCATCACTAAGAGTCAGAGACAAAGCGGAACAGCATGCGTCGTGACTTCCCCCTAAAAAGTTCAAAGCCGTGCCGCCTGCAGGCAAGGTGTTGCTCACCGTCTTTTTCGATGTTCAAGGTCCTCTACTTGTGGAATTCCTCGAGCACAGAAAAACCATTAACTCCGATGTGTACAGTGAGACACTCCGACGCCTACACAGGTCTATCAAGAACAAAAGACCGGAGCTACTCACGGAGGGTGTAGCTCTGCTCCAAGATAACACGCGTCCGCACGTCGCCATAGTCACACACATGGAACTGGCCAAGTTCAAGTAGGAGATCTTGGACCATCCTCCGTACAGTCCGGACATGTCGTCCTGCGATTTCCATGTATTTGGTCCACTAAAGAAACACCTGAAAGGGAAGCACTTCAACTCGGACGGCGTACTCAAGGACGCTGTAAAAGACTGGGTCTCGTCACGGCCACAGGAATTCTGGGAACAAGGAATCCTGCGGCTTGTTCATCAGTGGGATCGTTGTGCTCCGGCCGATGGTGTATATTTTGAATAAAGTCTACATTTGTACCCACCGTGTCGTTTCGTACCTTTTCATTTGATCACCCCTTGTATTTATATTTTTAAGATATTAACATTTTTGTTGAAAATAGTTATCCTGACTCTTTTTTGCTGCCCCTGTAAACATAAATAAGTAAAAAAGAAACATTATTGAATGTTTGGTTAAATGATTCTTTAACAGCCGTTATTAGGGAGTAACTTTATTAGCTTTTGGAAACAGCTCTCCTGATATTTTTGCTGCCATTGCCGGTATAAAGCAACAAAAGACAGAATTGGTTATAGGAGGCTTATTGGGTATGTATTTAGTTTACTACCAATTTAACATACATTACTGAACAGCTTTCATATCTGACAATTTTAATGGATATATTTTTATTTTGAAGGTTCTGGAATATTTGTGACAACTGTTGTAGCCGGATCTATACTTTTAACTCAAAATTTCGGAATGATGAAAAGGCCATTCTTACGAGATTCTTTCTTCTACATTCTAGCTGTAGCATGCGCCTTTTATCTCTTTTTCTCAAAGCATATTTTTATCTATCATGCAATTGGTAACACCTCCATATTATTATTCCCCCTTCATTTCTTATTACTAGTTCGTACAGCGATTTTATTTTGTATATTTTATCTAACTTCATTTCAACAGAATTTTTTCTAAAATCAATGAAATTACGAGAGAGAACTATTTTTTTTCTAAGCAATGTGGTCTTTTTTAACAATGTGCGTACGAATAAAATAAACATGTATGTTCATGACCTACCACAATTATATTTATTCAATCTGAGGGGAGAAACCATCATTTCGGTCATTCAGAGTAACGATCCTTTAGCAACAGTAAACTAGTATTTTAAATAAAATTTAAGAAACCTTCTCAAAAACTGCTATCTCAAATTATCAATATTAAATAAATAAAAATTAGTAATATGTCTTAGAAAGTTACGATACATAAAGGATGATATGATAATAGTATTTGTTAAAAAGTTCAGAAATAATCGTAATTGATTCGCTATTAATTAGTTTATTATTGTTACGTGATTTAGTGTTAGATTAGTTTGGTCTTTAGTAAATAGATGACAGCATAATATATTTTACGTCATAATATTTTTCAACTACTTGAATGCAATGTGCATTAGACATTACATGAATAAAAAGTTGTATTTGTGGTTAGATAGATTATTGTAGAGTATACAGGGCGTTCATAAAGGGAGGAGGTAGATGACAGGCACGCCATTAAGAGTGCCTGGTTTGTGTGCAGCATCTGAATCTGAAATTTTATTTAACTCAAGTATATTTTTTGCAAATTATTTTCGAAAATTGCAATAAAATAGAATCAGCTGTTCTATCACAATTTAATGTTTTAGTGGGCAAATTAGTTGTCATTTCAAAAAATTACGATTTGTGAGTTATTATTATTCATAGGCCTATTATATATCATTTATGGGCCTATTTCAATGTATTTTTTGACAAAAATATTAGATAGCATGGAACTAAGATTTTTTTGATAAATAACCATGCAGACTAAAATGCGTATGAACAGCCAGCTCTTCATAGAGGGAGAAGTGCCTCTAGGGCGTACGATGATCTATAGACAGGGTTAGTCCTACGTCATCAACGACGTCACTAGCTCTCTTCGTTCCAAACTTTGTTTTGAACGGAGCAAACAATATGGCGTTTCTCATGTAGTTAAAAGTGGGTCAACTAAATCTTTGAATATATTAATATAGAGTCGAATTTAACCACTGAAATGGCAAGAAAAAGTGTTGCATATATTAATATTATGTTAATCTCTTTTTATGATATTAATTGGAGTAGCTTATTAATTGTAAATGATTATGAAAACTTTTTGTATGTATGATTGGGAGAATTTGTATTTAATATTTACCATATAAATTGTAGTTATAATCTGGAAATCGGAAATTTGTGAATCTTATTATTTGAAAAATGTTATTTCTAATTTATGTTTAATTTTTCTTAAAATATGTATATTATATTAAATAAATTTTTTTTTATAATATTGAGACAACTTATTAATTGTAAATAATAATGAAAATTTAAAAACAAATTAAAAAGTTATGTAAGGAGCATGAATAAAGTCAGATAAGTTAGTGAAAATTATAAAGCATTTAAGATACACGTTTTTAAAATAGTAAATTTACCAATAAATTTGAGCTAAAATGATAGGAAGTAAAAAAAAAAATATTATGTAAACAAGATCTTAACACAGACGTTGACAGATCTTAAAACATATTTACAACCAAATTATGAAATAAATTTGGATGACTTGAATATTACGTTCACTGTAACAAATAAAATATTACTATGAAGGTAATTTAAAAAATTTTGATTGAGACTGTCAAATGCAAATTTTATTCTATAAAAAGTGATAACAGTAACATTTGCCAAATATAAAAGCTGTATAACTAAATATGTATACATGCATTAAAGAGTTAAGTTTCTAAATTAAAAAATTTCTTAAAAATTTGAATTATATTTATTTCAAAGGCATGCGAAATTAATATTATGAAATAAGTAAAATTTAAACACCTATGTGAATACATAGATTAATAAATATGAATGTTAAATAAAAGTTTATGTATGGGATAAGTATGTTTTAAAGAATTCTAAAATAATTCATGTTGCACTTTCTTATCGAATAAAATAGGAATCTGAGATTTTAAGATAAATTCATATATAACACCTAAAAAAATTGTTCCTCTCACATTTATAAATGAAAATTTGAAATTTAAAATATTAAAATAATTTAGCTATTCTATATATTAAAATTCTGGAAACTAAACATAGTATTGACCCTTTTAACATAACACTACACTGCACTATTATAACACTACACATTAACATAGCACTACACTAGTAACGTTAAGAATAATCTAATATTAATTATCTAATAATAAGGTATCTTAGTTTTCTCAAAAAATTAATGCATAAAACTATTGTTAAAAGCTAATTAATGATGATATTGACAAATATAAACAAGAAAAAATCTCAAGTCAAAATAAATCTCAGTTTAAACTAAAACTCTGTGCACATTTAACAATATGTATACGTATTAAATAATTTAGTAACATAATTTATTCCCATTTAGTAGTTAAAAACTAAAGCTAATGAGAATTAGCAGCAATAATCAGAAAATCTTAAGCAAACAAAGTTTACAATAACTACAAATTTAATCATCAGACATAATTAAATAAACAGACATTAGTATTGATAAATACAATCTAATTATAGATTAAAAATTACAAAACGTTTTAAAACAATGCATGCCTATCCATAACTAAAGAAAAAAAGATCAAGATGTAGATCTAGATGTAGATAAAGAATATGTAACAAATTCTAAATAAAATAAGACATTATTAAAAACATGAAACAAGAGTTAAAAATATTGACGCTTAAATTTTTATACATCAAAATTAAAGATAACTTGACCATTTTGAAACTTATTTTAATAGCATTTAATGCACTTAACTCGTAAAATCTACTGATACCCCGTATAAAGAAAACTACTTAAATTGGGAATAAGTCCCTTATAAGCGCTATATAAATTTATTTATTTCAATAATAAACAAAAAATCTTGCCGTCTTAAATTCACATAGCAAATGTCATTGAAATGGTTCGTTCGAAAAAATGTTTGGAAGGAGGCGGGGTTTGACGTCATAAAATACGTCATCACTGTCTCTATCAGTTTTTACTTCCAAGGTAGTTAATCAAAATATTTTTTGGATCTAGAAAAAATAATTTTAATAGTATTCCTATTCATTTTTAATAACGATAACTTCTGTTGTGTGAGAAGTTTACAGATATCGTGTTTCTTACTGTTAGTAACAACCCAACACAAACAGATATTATTTAAAATTTTCAGAAAAAAGTATTCATTTTGTTTGTGATTTATGAATGAAAACAATTGGTTTTATTCATGTTATGTAAGCTATATTCATTTAAGATTTATTATGGTTTTATTTTTTAAAAAAAGTATTCAGCTAATTTAACAAGAATCTGTGTCAAACTAAATTCGAATTTTATTTCACATTTCTAAATTATAAATTCTAATGACTGTCTATAAAAATGTTTTTGTAATTTAACATTACTGTATTTTACAGGTTTTGTACTTCTGTATTTTGTATACATCTTTGTAGTTGTATTAAGCAGATACATTCATCAAAAGCATCTAGAAAAAATGGACAAAGCTAAAGGTAATCGCTTTTATGCCACTTTCACTAGTTGCCAAGTTAATTATTTAGTGTTTTAAAATAGAAATTATTAATTTAATGGATCTTGTTGTATAAAATTGCGGAGGGATGTTTTCGTACAAAATTAAATGTTAAGCGTCAGAAGTGGGGCATTATTATGGATCACTCCATTAGATTCTTTTTTTTAAAATAAACTTTTGCGTTACCGGTGTCTTCAGACTTTTGGTCTAAACTTAGAGCAGCTCCTGCAGTAGTGTGAGTCGTAAGTACAAGTGTAACATTAATGCATTTTATAAATTATTAATGGAAGTCCTGTGGTACATTATTAAAAATTAAAATTTGAAAACATTTCAAGATTCCATTGCTCATTCAAATATTTTGTCTATTAAACAAAATTAAAAAAGTTCTGCCATTTAAGTATTTTTTGTTTTAATTTTTTAGAAGCGGAAGCGGGAGAAAGCGGTGAAGTGAAAAAAGGATTGAAAATAACGGGTACAAAAGCTGCTGATTATGATAATCCTGAAGCATATGGAGTTGTTTTAACTGGTAGGAAAAGAGTTTTCTAAAACCACATATTTTATAAATATTTTACATTAAAAAAAAACTATTTCAAACATAAATTCACGTCTGGCAAGTCTTGAAAATGGGCATCTATTTTTAAAGTGCTTGAAAAATGTCAACTGGTTTCATAAATATTTGAAGCGAATGAAGTCAAACAATCTTTCAAACATACTTATTATTTCCAACAATGTAAAAAAATATGATTGGTTTTACAAAGAACACTATTTCCTTATATATATGGTGTTCAAAAATTTGTGAGTCACCAATGTAATGACACAACTTTATTATACGAATTTTTGAAAGCGAAATTGATCATGTATTGCATTTCATTTTATGATCCGTAGTCTAAAAAAATTTGAAAAAATTTGCTCTATAAAGGGTTGTGCTACGAAAACCTTGTGGAAAGCTGAGTATTGTTGAAGAAATGAAAAGTCTGCTCTTTTATTTAGTTAACTTTGGTAATAATACAGCAAAAATATTGAGTATGTTTTAGTTTTTTTGAAATTAACACCAAAACTGATAATTGCGATAACTACAAAGTAAATTGAAACATCTTTACTGTGAAATTGCAAATAGTGCTAAGAAATAATATATTGTTTAAAAATTAAGCGTCGTATCTTAATTTAAAAGAAATTGTTTATTTCAATTTTTTTCAACTAGTATTGCTAGTGTTTCATTAGTTTAAAATTATTTCTTCACACATTAAAAATAATTTTGACGTGTGTTGAAAATATGACGGGAAAATATACGATTTTCTTTGTTTTAAGCAATTAAGAAACATCATATACTAATCAATTACATCTGTTCAGCAAGAAAATTTACCAGTTCTTTTTTCAAAAACTGAAAAAATTGATAGAACAAATATTCCATAATTAGTTTTTATCATTGAGAAACAAAATATGCGAGTCCACCATGAAATTGTACAAGCTTCCAATTTGTCCAATATAGGCTTCCAATTTGAATTTAAAATCATGAAATTATGATTTTTTAAAACTTAAGTGGCAGCTAATCGAAGAAAATATTCAGTTTAAACATTAATGAACTACTTTCTTTTTATAATAGTACTTTTTTCATTATTGTGATTTTAAAATTGGGGTGTTGATGGGTTAATATTAATTTTTTAAACACCGAAAAAAACCACACATTTCAAGCAAGCAATGAAAAATCAATATGAAAAGAAAGAATTTAATTATAAATGAAATAATAATAATCAACACGATAAATTACTTTTCACCTTTGAAACTAGTGGAGCATTTTATTAGAATCCGAAACATAAAAACACGATTTTAGAATAAAACACAATAGCATAAAAACATAATTAGAAACATAAAAACACGATCTGACAGTAATTTTATTTCAAAGCTGAATTTGCGGTAGGTACAGATTTTACCCACAAAACCGACTACTTTTTACGAAGTAAAAAAATAATATATTGAAAATCGGAAAGAAGTACCTTTAGAGAAATTACTGGCATCTCTATTAGCGAGAAGCTAGTTTAAAAAAGTTTGAACAAAAAGTAACGAAATTTAACAGATATTGCGGTTTGTGTTTTTACAGAAATTTTTTAAGGTTTATGGCAGAAGAATTTCCATTTCATCTAATTTTGTGCAATTTTTTTTCCAGCTTTCTTTAAATACAACTATGAGGAAGATCGTCGTCGAAATACATTGAATCATTTCTGTTATGACAATGAAGTGTTTTCAATATCATTACCCTCAATTTCTGAAGCTCCTCCAAGTAAATCTTATTTCTTTTTAAATCCGCAATATGAAAGCTCACACGTGAACACTCTCAATCACTCACAATCTTTAATACTAAATTCATTTTAAAATATACAAGGTTTTCCATGAAAACCACCCTTAATGTATATTTTCAGAGTATTTTTCTCGAATGAAGACCCATAAATGAAGAAGGATACAAATTAGGGGTAACACATCGATCTGAAAAAAAAAAAAAAAAAAAAATGACAAATCACAATTGAGGAACGCGGATGTAAGAAAATCCAAATCATGTTTGATTGCAAGAAGAAAACTCTGAGAAATGAAAAACGACCCTTAAAAATACAATCAAGTTTCAACCAGTAATCAGACAGATATTAATAATATGGGTGCACGCCTTCCTTAATTCTGATTTATCACACTTCTATAGAGTTCTTGTTTTTATTGTTGTTTAAATATTCAGTTGCAACACTTAATGTACAATGCGCAAAATAAAAAACCGGACCACCATGAATAATTTTGCAAAGATTAATAACAACCTTGCAAAGATTTCGGAAAGCCCTCCCTCATTAGTCAGCGTACGATAGACGCGTGGGGGGAGTGAGGCAAGTCTTAAGGGGTCAAGTAGAGATTTTAAAGGAAATGTTTCCTGTTTCAATGCCATTGCTTTTCTTTTACATTACGCATACTATATCGCGAACATTACTGTATCATATCATAAAAGATAGTGCATATATAGTTTTTTTTATTTATTTATTTTTTTGTATGATGTGACTTTAATTATTAATATTACTGAGGAGTTTTAAAGTTATTTACTATTCATTATTTTAATTGAATACTAGTTTTTATTTTTTTCAAATTTTTTTTGTATAACTATGTTCTATTGAAGAAAAAAGAACAAAAAAATAGCTGAAATTATTAAATAAGTTCAATATACATACTGTAACTTCCATATTTCTCTGAAATAAAGGAAGTTTGTGCGCAATGCTTACTGCAATCTCAGAAACGTAATGTATTTTTCGTTGAACAAGCGATTTAAAAATAATGTGAATAACTATTAATACTGCTTTTGAATTTGAAACAGTTACTTAATATTTATTATTTTAAATCGATACGTTGAGTGACAATAGTTTTTTATTCTTGTATAATCATTTCCTATTGAAGAAAAAAGTAACATAAAAAAGCTGAAATGATGGAAAAAATTAACTGTACATAGCAAAACTGCCAGATTTCTCTAAAATAAAGGAGGTTAGTGCGCAATGATGATCGCTCTCTTTGAATCGCAATATGTTCATTAATGAAACGATTTAACAATAATGTTAATTTAATTATTAATATTGCTTTAGAATTTTAACTAGTTATTTACTATTCATTATTTTAATTAATAAGTTGAGACAACATAGTAATTTTTTTTGTAAAA